ACATATTTTCCTGTCAATAAGTCCATGACTGGTAATAAGCCCATCTATATATATTGCTGTCAATGACTTATTTCTATGGTGTAGACAACATATTTTCCTGTCAATAAGTCCATGTCTGGTAATAAGCCCATCTATATATATTGCTGTCAATGACTTATTTCTATGGTGTAGACAACATATTTTCCTGTCAATAAGTCCATGTCTGGTAATAAGCCCATCTATATATATTGCTAGTTAGCAGAGTCATCAAGAAATATTAGTTCATTGTCCTTTGATTAGCCCAGCCCCAGCTTTAAGTCAGAGGTAATATGTCCTGGCCTCCTGTGTTTGTTGCAGGTTAAATATGGTAATATGCTGGTTGTAGTGTGTGTAGAAAATGCTTATGAACAATTAGCAGACTCAAGACCACAGCGAGCTCATAAATTTAAAAAAAAAAAAATAAAATTATATTAGTGGAGCCCAGACAAAACGATGGAATACAGCTCTGAAAATTATGGCATTTAAAGTCACCTGTGCAACACAGTTTTAAATTGAGATGTAAATAATTAACAGCGATAACTAAATTCTCATCAATACCAGTTGCTTGTAGAAATACTTCGTAAGTTTGTCTGATAAAGACAGGATACATCTGTGATATTGATGTGATCCACGAGGTAACTCTGTCCTTTTACAGTTACAACATCAGGTACTGGTGTACTCTGATAAACAGATAAACTTTCAAGTAAATCACAGTATACAAAAGTATCAGAAACAGGTTAAAAGTGACCAAAACAAAAAAATACCAAAGGGCAATAACTCTGTCAATTAGGGGGTGATGTCCCAAGTCTACAGATAAAGAAAGTGCAAAGTTATCAAAGTCAGGATTAAGAATAAAAGTGACCCGTTTGTAATTTCTTCCAATTTAAGATGTATTATAATACATATCTGACTGAAAAAAGCTATATCATTTCTTAAAAACTCATATGAAATGTAGGTTAGATATCTGATACAACATCTGTATACATGTACATTGTACATCGTAGAAGGTGGAGAAACAGCCTTATGATAGATGCAGCAGCACACTGTGATAGATATACAAATATGTGACACCTGTAATATAGAAGTTAATGATGCACATACTTTACATGTTTGCCCACAAACTACCTAATGTGTAACTGCCATTCTGCTCCATTAATGTTGATACAAAAAAATCATTTGTGGGGTCAAAGTGCAAATATTTCACAAGGTCACAGTTGAAGATTTTGACACTGACAAAAATGCTATCATGAAGAACTTCTGACTTGGTGAAACATCCGCCCCACACATTGCACTCTACCCATCAGTTAGAGCTTATCTCGTGCCATGGAGAATTATACATCTATTTACCTAGATATCGGAAACAAAAATGATTTCATATCTTTTTTTTTTGATAATATTGATCATACATAAGGATTTTATACAACAATTACATGATCTGAATTTTTAAAAAAATAATTTGTGAGAATAATTATTGAGTTTCTTTAATTTTTCACAGTGTTTAGAAATTGTTATTTTAAGGACTGTTCTGGTAGCTATTTTTTGAAGTTGGAGTAAAATCACAAAAATTACCCTAAAACCAACATTTATCATGGAAACAACAGTTTTTTTTTGCTTCCAGGAAAATACATCCTTTTTGATTCAAACCTTTAGTAAAACTTTGAGCCATCAAACTAGAAAATATTTGTAAGACTTCAATGTTACCACTCCTATGCAGTATCATTGTTTGAAGAATTTGCAGAAAATAACAAACGTGACCTTTGACCCTCTAAAAGTGATGGTTGACCATCTTTTTAGTTAATCAATCCAATAAAAAACCTTAATATTAACTGTGTCAATCCTGGCTAGATAACTGAATCAAATCTGCTGAAAGGTTCACAAGATATTAATTAACTATATTTATTTAACTTAACATCGCTCCAACATCATAACCTCCTTAACAGTATCACTCATGGTCAAGAACAAGTGTTATACCTGATTCAGGAACTAGGAGATTATAATGACTATCATATTATACTTAAAAAAACCTTTTTCTAAAGCTATTTATATGTTAAACTTCACTCTTCATCCTCAATACTCCAGGTGTTATGATCACTTTCATTCTTTGCACCCGTGGAACATTGAAGGTTCTATATACCTTTCCCAATGTATAATTATATACAGTCAAATCTGTGTAATATGTATTCAGTGACCATTGCTGACTTGTATGTAAGATTACTGGTCAAAACAAGATACTTCAATGCATGTTTCCATTGCTATTATGTATGGATTTTTTTTAATGAATTACTTTAAATAGTAAGAGTGAATTACCAATTAAAGATCTGTAATCAAATCTTTATCAAGAAAAGCAACAATGAAATTTTATGGAAGAGGAAATCACACCTTATGGTGGATTCCTGTTTGACTGGGTTATAGTGATGTGTTAGATGTCTAAAACATAACTTAGTTAAAGAAATTTGAATATTCAATCCAAAACTGAAAACCTACGCTAATGCAATGAATAAAATTTGAATATTCAAACTGAAAATGAAATCTTGTTATTTAAGCATTCGTGTAATTAATAAAGTTTAAATATTACCCAATAAGTTAACAAATTTGTCTCAATTCTTTCATAGTTAAACAAAAAAATTAATGCTGAAATTATTTATTTCAAAAGTAACCTAACAAAGAAAACTTGGATATCAAATTGCTATCATTGGCTGTTTTAGATTTAACATACAATAAACAAGAAAATTAAACACCTAGTACAACACCAGACCCCAGTACTGGTGTTAGGTGACTGTACGTGTGGTGCTGGTGAACATGGTATCAACAATTATGCACCCCATCCACTTGTATCCACCCCCCCCCCCCCCCCCCCCCCCAGGGCTCATCTGCACCTCTTCCCCCCCCCTCCCAACTCCAAGCCCCTTTCTCCCCCTACCAGCCTGTTTCCCCCTTTCCAGCCCCTTTCTCCCCTACCAGCCCCTTTCCCCCCTACCAGCCCTTATCTCCCCCTACCAGCCCCCTTTCTCCCCCTACCAGCCTTTCTGAAATTTATCCCCTCCAACCATTCCATTGCTTCATCTCCTAATGAGGCATGTCACCTCTCACCACACTTCATTAGACAGGAGTTAACTTCACAATATAAATTTGACAAGTACATTACTATGACATTTCCGAACATCAATCATTTTATAAATAATTGCTCTGAAAAGAAAAATATTTTGTTATATTACTTTAAATATAAATCATTTTGCACAATAAAATTTAGCTCAGATTTATCCTCTGGTAAATTAGCACAATCATTAATTTGTGTGGCTACCTTAATTAGGAAAAAAAACCATATAAGGAAACTGGAATTAGCGTAATCATAGGTTAGCATAATGCTATCAGTGAGAAAAGTGCTAAAATAACAGAATTGCTAAAACATATATGTACATTTGCAGTATCATTATTAAAATGGATGTAAGAATCTATTTACTGCATGTCACAAAATGGATGTTGTACCCCTCTATGATATATTACTTTGTAAAAGGTACATCCCCCCACCCCCAACTCCCACTAGCCAAGGCTAGTATGGTGTCTTCTACAACTATATCAATTCATCATTCTCATAAACATGGCAGAGATTATGTTGAAAGGTAAATTTCTAGTATCTCAAATGATTTATCAGGAATCCTACGCTGCAAAATGTTCTTTTGGAAAAAAGGTTTTTATCTTAGTAAACAGATCTAGAATTGATTGTGCTAATTGGGTGAAAATGTTTCATCAGAATTGAAATATCAATTTGCAGAAAGAAGATCTGGACTATGTGAACTTTTTATACAAAACTTAGTAACAAAGAATTTATTGTCTGAAATGTGTTATCAGAAATCCTACAGATCAAATCTTGTATTGGCGAAATGTCTTACAAAAAATCTGTTGACAGAAAATCTCATACCAAGATATGTATCTTAGTGATATATCTTAATCTGAAAACCTGGTGTTGACAAAATCTTGACAGAGTGAAATGTCTTGTTTTTTAAGAGGCCATGTAGAGGGAATCTTGACAGAGTGAATGAAATGTCTAGTTTTTTAAGAGGCCATGTAGAGGGAATCTTGACAGAGTGAATGAAATGTCTTGTTTTTTAAGAGGCCATATAGAGGGAATCTTGACAGAGAAAATGAAATGTCTAGTTTTTTAAGAGGCCATGTAGAGGGAATCTTGACAGAGTGAAATGTCTTGTTTGTAAGAGGCCATGTAGAGGGAATTTCATCTAAGTTAATTGATTTGAGTTGTCTCATCAGAATCCATGTTGAACAAAGCCTTACTGGGTGAAGTGTCTTATCACTTGTCCTGAGGAAAAATCTTAATTTAGAATTAAATAGTTAACATGGACATAGGTACAACTACACACTGACAGCTGTTAGAGCTCAGGGGGGTCACAAGGGGGATATTGTATCACTATCAACAGTTTATTTAGGAACTTTATTCAAACTTATTTTGCCTTCAGGTGGAGGGTAGGGGGGATTAAAATGAAGATAACTTAATTATGTGAGTACATTATAAAAGAGTTATGATCTAGTACATATAACAATGGAAACAGTATTTATTAATTATTACTGCATTCTTTGTTGCTTCACATCTAATCCTCTCTCTCTCTTATGATCCTTTTAGAAAAAGGATTAAAATTTGTTGATTTTTATACTCCGCCGGAGGCAGTAGTATATTGGAGTCATCTTCTTTGTCCGTCCGTCCCTATGTAAGTATGTCCATTTCTTGTGAATGCAACTGCTCCTAAACTAATTATCAGATTTTCATGAAACTTGCTCAATGTCACTACTACAATGGTAGATGTGCATGAAGGGGTGATTTGTCGGTTCTTTGATTTTTGTAAGATTTATGCCATTTTATCTTAATCTTTATATTTCGTGTCGGCGTATATTGTGTGTTTTTACTATTATTTGTTGATGACTGAACAGAAGCATGTATGCTAGATAAAGATGTACAATGGTTAATGTACCTGTCTCCAAATACTGAAGGATGATTAATAAGACTTCAATATCCTTTTGAATGCTGAATCCAGATCCCTTTCCTGGCCTCCTCTGACAGGAGAGCTCTAGTATGATAGTCAATGATGCGTGATCTCCAGATTGGGTTTGGTGTGCAGTTTCTGGCTGACAGCCTGTAAACAATTAAAGAGAATTAAGTAATTACTACGACCACTGCCTGGTAAATGTAGACATAAGTTTATCAGTAAATTTTGTACTTCTACAACATTCCTTGAAATAATCCAGGACATCTCTACTAAAATGAAAATTAATGACAGTCATGTTGTTTTAAACATGTCAAATACTTCTTACATAAAACAAACATCTTGCCCAAAATCACTCACCCTAATATGTACTTAATGTTTTGGTCATTTGTTTGCGATTAAATATCTTCTTGAAGGCTTCATCTGCCATATGTAATTACGTTTAGGAGTTTAGATGCTAGCTCTACTATTGGGAATTTCAAGTCAAAGAGTCTGACTAGAGATAAGACTAGAGACTAGACTAGAGACTGAGGGTCGCTAGCCCAAACTGTGACAGGGTATTTTTCATTACTCACACAGATTTGGTACCATGACCATGATATTGAACCTGGGACATTGTCTTTGTGGATCAAACACTTTGTGAAGGAGGAAGTAGTGAAGCATTTGACATTATCAGTCACCTTACTAGCCTTAGTTAGCACAAAAATGAACTGTAGGGTGTCTGGCTAAAATCTGAGGGTCTCTGGTTCAAATTCCAAGGGTGACAAGGTATTATTTTCTTTGCTAGTGCCAGGAATTGCTAGGGTCTGGAATTGCTACGGTTTGAACCAAATCAAGACAACAAATCACTACTGTTTGTAGTTCTGCAAATAAAACTATAGCATAAATATTTTTCCATGGCATCTAAGTTCAACAATATGACAAAGGCATCTTCTAAAACTTACATGCTATTAATGTCATGTTTAAATATTGATTAAAACAAAAGTTCTTCAATTTTCAAAATTCATCACAATACAGAATTTAACCGACATTTCCTGAGAGGGAGAGAAAACCTTATTCAATATTTTACAGTGCATGTTTCAATGTGACTGGAAACTAAGTGGATTAGAGTGAATACTACAAAATCAGGGTCTACCAAAGATTTACATTTTCATCGGCACTTTGGTTTCATGAATAAATCTTGACCCTGAAATCCACTAGTACTAAAGTCCAGGTCTACTTTCATCTGTTTATCAATTCGTGGACGAATAAGTTAGTAGATCTTGAGTAGCTATGTACTCAATAAAAATAAATCCCCAGGCCAATAATTTTACATAATAAATGAAAACGAAAACTGAACAACGTGAAGACTTTTTGTAACATGTAGACAACTTTCAAAAACATTTTACAGTAGAGGGATTACGCTACCAAGAATGTGTAGTCACCTCTCAAACATCTTCACTTTTGTTCTAAAAATACAGCAAATAAGATATTGATACTAAGACAATCAGATATTTATTATGTACTACACTGTAACTTTATTCTAGTTTTACAGAAAAAGAGTTGTATTTGATAAACAGCTAAAGACAATATCTCCCAGCTTGTAAGCATCCCTAGCTTTCAGGGTTACAGGACCCTAAACTCTACAAGATATCTTGTTGATTGATGGATGTGTTGGGATGTACATCGAAGTGATCCATCCAATTATACCAAGATGGTATAGTTAGATTTATAACTATCTTTGAATATTTGATAAAATGTAAAAGTGAAATATTAAATATGTTGCCACCGTCACGACCTAAATAGTAACACCAATATTTGTCTGCTTAGTGTTACTGTCTTCCTGACAACCACTGTACATGTCGGGACCCTTTTTTCATCACAGAATTGAATATTTGAATGATTTAAGTAGAAAAAAAATAGAAAGATGGAGTGTTAAATATAGTTTGGGTGGTGCAGTGACAATACATTCACCTTTTACACAGGTGTCCTGGGTTTGATTCCAGGAATGGATGTAAAAATGTATAAAGTCACCAGCCGACCATGTGGTCTTCCCCCGAGTAATCAGGCTTTCTCCTAGAGTAGGACCCCTCACACGCTTCTAATCGGACCAACAAAAGTGATTTCTATAAATTGTAATGAATTTTTCCACGATTGTTGTAAATTAATAAAGTTTGATGTCACTAAATATGGTAAGTGAATGGTTCATCACTATGACACGTACATCAAACACCAGTATATAGGATAAAGTGTTGTGAAAATTGTAGTTATTAACATATATCGTTCATAAGAATGCTTGTATAATTGAGTAAGAAATGTTTATGAAGATATTTTTATGTATCAAGAGAAAAGAACAGCTGAAACTGAATTAACTGGGTTTTGAACTTCTGTTTTCTTGGGATTTTTAAGGCATGCACAAGTAACATACATTTACTATCACGTTAAATGTAAGAATTTTTTAAATAAACCAGAAAAACGTATGAAATCACTTCAGCTAACTGTATTTCATGTTTAAAAATGGTCTCATCAGCACAACAATGAGGTATATTTAATATTTCTGTTCCTTGTCATACAGTTCAACTCTTCTGTCACACCAACAATTTATGTTGGTAAATTTTCAACCTTTATTCTTTGATCAAAAGAAAAACTGAAAACTTGATGCAATGACATTTAATTACCATTGAACTACACAAATCAGCATGCAGTCTTTATCAACATGTACAAAGAATTCTGGGAAAATGTAATTATTTAAAGCCTAAAGATCAACATTATCTGAGGAATTAATGCTCCATCACCATTACCAACATCATCATCATCATTATGAAGGTGATGAACACACTAACAAATAAAGTTAAACTGGCAATTTGTTGAGACAATGGCCCTGACCCATAATAATTGGTAACACTGTACAAGATTAAAGGTGTCAATGTAACCAGAGAATTGAAGGATTGGCAAGTCTTTGTTCCTTAACTATGGAAACTGATTGGTGGTGACATCATGACAAGTGGAGGTGACTGTTCCACAGTGAATACACCACTATTCTGCAGTGAATGCACAGCTGGCTAGTTAGAGGTCTGCTGCATTGTTAATTAAATAAAAATCTCCATGGAACTGGAGAAGGTGTATTCAGAAATCATCCTGCAGAGTGCAGACTCAAATCACATGTTCTTTCTTCATGTCTATCATAAGATGAACCAAGTTCTCCATTTAACATAAAAAATGTAATTAAATTGAAAACTCTCACAGATACATTTATTGAATTATTACATGGCTTAAGATGGTACTATCAGATGTTTGTGTATGAGTTGCTGGGGTCTGTAGTAGACACTATGAGTTGTTGATGTCTGTAGAAGACACTATGAGTTGTTGGGGTCTGTAGTAGACACTATGAGGTGTTGGTGTCTGTAGTGGACACTATGAGTTGTTGGGGTCTGTAGTGGACACTATGAGTTGTTGGTGTCTGTAGTAGATACTATAAGATGTTGGTGTCTGTAGTAGACACTATAAGATGTTGGTGTCTGTAGTGGACACTATGAGTTGTTGGTGTCTGTAGTAGACACTATAAGATGTTGGTGTCTGTAGTAGACACTATGAGGTGTTGGTGTCTGTAGAAGACACTATGAGTTGTTGGGGTCTGTAGTAGACACTATGAGTTGTTGATGTCTGTAGAAGACACTATGAGTTGTTGGGGTCTGTAGTAGACACTATGAGGTGTTGGTGTCTGTAGTGGACACTATGAGTTGTTGGTGTCTGTAGTAGACACTATAAGATGTTGGTGTCTGTAGTAGACACTATGAGGTGTTGGTGTCTGTAGAAGACACTATGAGTTGCTGGGGTCTGTAGTAGACACTATAAGATGTTGGTGTCTGTAGTAGACACTATGAGGTGTTGGTGTCTGTAGTAGACACTATGAGGTGTTGGTGTCTGTAGTAGATACTATGTGGTGTTGGTGTCTGTAGTAGACACTATGAGGTATTGGTGTCTGTAGTAGACACTATAAGATGCTGGTGTCTGTAGTAGACACTATGAGTTGTTGGGGTCTGTAGTAGACACTATGAGGTGTTGGTGTCTGTAGTAGACACTATGTGGTGTTGGTGTCTGTAGTAGACACTATGAGGTATTGGTGTCTGTAGTAGAAACTATGTGTTGTTGGTGTCTGTAGGAGACACGATGAGTTGTTGGTGTCTGTAGTATCTGTAGTAGACACCATGAGGTGTTGGTGTCTGTAGAAGACACTATAAGATGTTGGGGTCTGTAGTAGACACTATCAGGTGTTGGTGTCTGTAGTAGACACTATGAGGTGTTGGTGTCTGTAGTAAACACTATCAGGTGTTGGTGTCTAGCAGACACTATGAGGTGTTGGTGTCTGTAGAAGACACTATGAGTTGTTGGTGTCTGTAGTAGACACTATGAGTTGTTGGTGTCTGTAGTAGACACTATGAGTTGTTGGTGTCTGTAGTAGACACTATGAGGTGTTGGTGTCTGTAGTAAACACTATCAGGTGTTGGTGTCTAGCAGACACTATGAGGTGTTGGTGTCTGTAGAAGACACTATGAGTTGTTGGTGTCTGTAGTAGACACTATGAGGTGTTGGTGTCTGTAGAAGACACTATGAGTTGTTGGGGTCTGTAGTAGACACTATGAGTTGTTGATGTCTGTAGAAGACACTATGAGTTGTTGGGGTCTGTAGTAGACACTATGAGGTGTTGGTGTCTATAGTAGACACTATGAGTTGTTGGGGTCTGTAGTAGACACTATGAGGTGTTGGTGTCTGTAGTATCTGTAGTAAACACTATAAGATGTTGGTGTCTGTAGAAGACACTATGAGTTGTTGGTGTCTATAGTAGATACTATGAGTTGTTGGTGTCTATAGTAGACACTATGACTTGTTGGTGTCTGTAGTAGACACTATGAGGTGTTGGTGTCTGTAGCTATTCAATGCTTATAATTGCAGCATATTGTACAGTCCAATGTTCAATTCTGAAATTATAAAAAAAATTGAAAGCATCCCATCAGAAGTAGAAATGAATGAACATTGTTTAAATGTGAACTCAGAATGAAAAGTGTTTTTTTACAGGATTTATCATTTGATATCTTAAAGAAATGTTCAAATATTTGTAGTATTATAGTTATGCTCTCTATGTATGTAATTTCGAGAATAGCCATACATTAATGTCATCAGATAGTAATTGAAATTGAAATGCTCTTCAGAGTTCATTTCACCCAGAATCGACCCATGCAGGATAGAGAAATTACCTTAACAATATGATACAACATTGACTGCAGACATAAAGTGTATTATATCCAACTAATGTAGGGCACATGCAGCACAGGACAATTAACACCAGGTCTTTAGGTACACAAGCATTGGTGATTAGGTCTCAAGGTTATTGGGGAACAATTTTACATTTAATGAGACTGAAATCTTATTGAAAACAGAATTATAGGTTAATGGACAGACAAGGGCTTCTAAGGACAGAATTATAGGTTAATGGTCAGACAGGGGTTTTTGAGGACAGAATTATAGGTTAATAGACAAAGTAGGGTTATTGAGGACAGAATTATAGGTTAATGGACAAACTAGGGTTTTTGAGGACAGAATTATAGGTTAATAGACAAAGTAGGGTTATTGAGGACAGAATTATAGGTTAATGGACAGACCAGGGCTTCTAAGGACAGAATTATAGGTTAATGGACAAACTAGGGTTTTTGAGGACAGAATTATAGGTTAATGGACAAACTAGGGTTATTGAGGACATAATTATAGGTTAATGGACAGACCAGGGCTTCTAAGGACAGAATTATAGGTTAATGGACAAACTAGGGTTATTGAGGACATAATTATAGGTTAATGGACAGACTAGGGTTATTGAGGACAGAATAATAGGTTAATGGACAAACTAGGGTTATTGAGGACATAATTATAGGTTAATGGACAAACTAGGGTTATTGAGGACATAATTATAGGTTAATGGACAAACTAGGGTTATTGAGGACATAATTATAGGTTAATGGACAAACTAGGGTTATTGAGGACATAATTATAGGTTAATGGACAAACTAGGGTTATTGAGGACATAATTATAGGTTAATAGACAAACTAGGGTTATTTAGGACAGAATTATAGGTTAATAGACCAACTAAGGTTATTGAGGACAGAATTATAGGTTAATGGACAAGCTAGGGTTATTGAGGACAGAATTATAGGTTAATGGTCAAACTAAGGTCATTGAGTATATAATCATAAATTAATTGTCAAACTATTAAGAGGATAATGATAGGTTAACGGCCAAGGTGAGGCTTATTGATGACTATATTATCATGTTAATGATAAAAATATAATAACTGAAGAGAGAATTATAGGTTAATGGTCAAATTATAATAACTGAAGACAGAACTATAGGTTAATGGTATGATAACTGAAGACAGAACTATAGGTTAATGGCATGATAACTGAAGACAGAACTATAGGTTAATGGTCAAATTATCATAACTGAAGACAGAACTATAGGTTAATGGTAACACTGTTGAGGACAGATCTCAGGTTTGGATATGTTTAGACTATAAAGATCACAATAACTTAACTCAATGGTAAATATGTTTAAATAAAGGTCCTTAATCAAATTTGAAAGTCACAAGGGTCAAATATGTAAAGCTTCAAATAAAATATCTTTGAAATGTTTTGATTCGTAAAGTTGGTTATTAATATAAACAAATTTAGAAATTATAAGTTAAAAATTATAAAGTCATAAATTAAAAGGCAACTTATAAATATTATATATATGTATTGTGCTATCTAGGTTTGTAAAGGTTTACAGAATTCTTCGTTTCCTTGATTTATCCCTGAAAATAACCCAACATATCGTTCTTTAAATCATTCCTCCTCTACAGATGTGATGATAACTATACGGGCTCATTATTCTTCAGTGAGTTGGACGTCACAGCAATGTATTACTACGGTTGCCAGTTGTTACATTAGACCGACCAAATGTACCAGGTCATTGGTGATTGTTTCACCAATGTACACAAAAGTTTAGGCATGCTTGAGAATTATCCTGCAGTCCAACATGCTCCAGACTGACATTCGGTACCAGAATGGACAAATTTGCCCCATCAGAGTCGGGTGTAGATGCATCTGTAGACGCATCGCTGTACATACCGTTTCTATCACATCGAGCTATGGCATGGATCATGTTGTGGCAGATCACTGACAACCTGCATCTCCACATTCCTCCAACTGCACAAATTTCTGCTGTCAGGCATTTTACATAGGATGAATGTTTTCATGCGAGGGATAGCATCTCCCCAGGTCTATATAGTAAACAGGACATGTCTTTCATTCATATTTTTTTCTTAGGAAACATCCACAATTTGCCTGATAGTGTTGTACCTAAGAAATGAGATAGGAAATGTACTGCAACAATATACATGATCCGTCTATCGTGTCTTGGTATCAGCATCCATGAAAACTACATTTTAAAGTTTAGATTTGTCCGTTATAAAGTATTTTTCATTACATGGAACCCTGTTATCAGTGTAACAATACCCTTTACATGTTACGACCACACATATGTCCTTCTGGAGTAGTGATTGGCTGAAAGTTTCTATAGTTTCAATTGGGACATCATTAATATTGTTTTATCCTATAACTGGCACTGCTATTGTCAGAATACACCTGCCACATATATTTTTGCTGTTTTCGGCAGTGACAGAAAACAGCTGTATTTTAGCAAGAAGGGTAATTCCACAGAATTACTCTCTGAATTTACTTAAGTATTACATTTAGAAATATAAATAGTTGTTGAAATATGCAATTTTATAAGTTGAAATGAACAAGTTGATTATGGAAATTCATAAAATCTCTGTTATATCCGATGAATTTGGAACAATGTTTCTGTGCAGTGCAATCATTTTGGCATCGATCATCAGGCAAAATTCAGTGTAACATCAACGTCATGTAAACACAGATTGAACAACAAAACTGTTTAAGTTTCAGAAATCTGATCATCAATCAGTGTTGAAGGATAAATAGAATACACGGTAGGAGTCTTGAAATATAAGCTGTATCTTGGTTCGGAACGGGAAGACAAAAGTGCCTCGCCAGAGACTTGCCACTTTTGTCTTTCTTCACCCTCACCAAAATACAGCTGATGTTTTAAGACACCGACCATGTATTCTCTATATATGCACTGTGGTGTCAGAAAGAAAGAGTCATAAAGCTGAAATTGTGTATCAATGCTGTTTTCATGATTAAATTCAAAAGAATAAATATTGTTTAATAAACAAAATTATACATTTGTTACTATTCCATATAAAGATTTAGAAAATTCACAAATGAATTTACTATACCAGAGACATTAACAAAATGAATAAGACATCTATAGGACATGCACCATTCACAGGCAGTAGAAGTTAGGACTTTAAGGAATTTGCTAAATTTCCTCTAGGGGGCACCACCCCTTAGGCCCAGGGGGATCAAGCACCGCTCACCTGCAGTAGAAGTTAGGACCATAGGGGAGACAGGGTTTAACAAATTGAGTTTTTCTTTACTAAATGATGTTACAGACCAAATGTGGAATATTGATCCAGTCATTCTTTTACAGACAAGAGGCCCATGGGCCTTAACGGTCATCTGACAAAAAGCAAGCCAAACCTAGAAAGTGGGTTGAGGTCATTCATTTGAACAAACTTGGTAGCCTCTCCTCCAAGCATCTTACAGGCCCAATGTCAGCACTCATGGACTTTTGCTTGTTGAGAAGAAGTCGTTTGTATATTTTAACATATTTGACCCCTGTGACCTTGAAAGTGGGTTGAGGTCATTCATTTGAATAAACTTGGTAGCCTTTCCTCCCAGCATGCTACAGACCCAATATCGGCACTCATAGACTTTTGCTTATTGAGATGAAGTCCTTTGTATGTTTTAACATATTTGACCCCTGTGACCTTGAAAGTGGGCCAAGGTCATTCATTTGAACAAACTTTGTAGGGCTCCATGCCAGCATGCTATGGGCCAAGTATTAGCCCCCTAGGCCTTCTAGTATTTGAGAAGAAGTTATTTAAAGATTTTGACATATTTGACCCCTGCGACCTTGAAAGTTGTTCAAGGTCATTCATTTAAATAAACTTGGTAGCCTTTCCTCCCAGCATGCTACAGACCCAATATCGGCACTCATAGACTTTTGCTTATTGAGATGAAGTCCTTTGTATATTTTAACATATTTGACCCCTGTGACCTTGAAAGTGGGCCAAGGTCATTCATTTGAACAAACTTTGTAGGGCTCCATGCCAGCATGCTATGGGCCAAGTATTAGCCCCCTAGGCCTTCTAGTATTTGAGAAGAAGTTATTTAAAGATTTTGACATATTTGACCCCTGTGACCTTGAAAGTTGTTCAAGGTCATTCATTTAAACAAACTTGATAGCCCTTCATCCCAGCATGCCACAGGCACAATATCAGCAATCTGAGCCTTTTGGTTATTGAGAAGAAGTTGTTTAAAGATTTTAACATATTTGACCCCTGTGACCTTTAAAGTGGGTCAAGGTCATTCATTTGAACAAACTTGGTAGTCCTTCATCCCAGCATGCTACAGGCCTTATTTTAGTTGCCTGGGCCTTTTGATTACTGAGAAGAAGTCCTTTGAAGATTTAAAGACATTTGACCCCTGTGACCTTGAATGAAGGTCAAGGTCATTCATTTGAACAAACTTGGTAGGGTTTCATCAAAGCAAGCTACAGGCTAAATATTAGTTGCCTGGGCCTTCCAGTTATTGAGAAGAAGTTGTTTGAAGATTTTAAGACATTTGACCCCTGTGACCTTGAATGAAGGTCAAGGTCATTCTTTTTAACAAACTTGGTAGGGCTTCATCAAAGCAAGCTACAGGCCAAATATTAGTTGCCTGGGCCTTCCAATTATTGAGAAGAAGTCGTTTGAATGAAAAGTTTACGGACGGCGCACGGCGCATGGCGCACGGCGGACGACGACATACGAAGCATGATGACTATAGGTCATCGGACCCTTCGGGTCAGATGACCTAAAAAAAAGGATTTTAAAGAATGTGCTTAAGTTGTCCTTTTGAAAAACTATAAAATATGAATATTTAGATGGCACTGCACTGTTTTATATATATATCAATTGTTGGTTGACCTACTTATCACTGATATAGGGAACATCTTTCTATATCATTTATTCAATATATTCAATCTAGCACTATATCGTTGTTGATGACATTGATGGAGACAGATTTCACAACAAGGATTTGATTGAGAATTACAATATGAATATCAGTAGGCCTAATACTGTCTCCAGATTTTACAAAAAGAACTTGAGCAAGTCTAGTCCTGTCTCCAGAACATACAACAGGGACATGAGTTTGTCTAGTAGCCTTCTTCAGATTTACTACAGAGATCTGTGTCCAGATTTTTCAAACATGAAAATCTATTACTGCCTCCAGAATTTACAAAAGGGACACAGACTTATAAATAAGTCTTGTCCTGCCACTGGATTTTATAACAGGGACTTGAGTAAGTCTATTCCTGATGTCTGTTCATGACATTGAGGGTATAAGGTTTCAGACCTGTGTATAGGGTTATAACAGATCTGTCATATGCATCATTTACAGTAAAAACAGCCTGCAGAGACTGACAGCTTCATCAGCTGGCCCACACATTCACCAACAGCAAAACACATGTATTTTCCTCTACACCAATCACACAGTAAACGTAGCTACATTTAGTCCTGATCTATATTGATGGGGGCTATTCTGATGTCTTAACATAGGTATCCTTCAACAACTTTCATTCTTTTTTCATTAATTTGTTTCTCATTTCCCTACAAATCAACCAAGGGGGATATGTTAAATGTACATACCTTAATTAAAAAGATAAAATTCTATGTCAAATAATGTTTGGAAAAATAGCTGGAGGGAGTTCCATTTTATTCCTGATGAAAAGTAATGTAAGGTTTTGATTTTCGTTTTCATGGAGGTAATTTCAGATAACAATACCTGGCCTCAGTCAAAGCGTCAGAAAATATTGACAAAAATACTAAATCATATCTTCACTTTCATCACTTTTTACTCCTAGCTGATAAACATGATGACAAACTCCTTCCTGAAGGAAGAGAATCTTCCAAATGTCTTAACTAGAAAAAGGAATACCTCATAGGCTTTACGATGTTCAGGAAATCAGATGTCATTTTATCTTATCAGGAATCTGTGATAAAAATATATAATTCAATATTAAGAACAAAAGGCCATTACAGGTAACAGTGTTGGTAATTTGTGAGGTAAAATAATTCTGTTTGACTGTGGACAGTGGTAATTTGAAAATGACAAACACTGCTTGCAGCTCATGTTTTCCAAAATGACATGATTCGACTGAACTTCTCGACAGTGTAATACCACAGCAAACTTTTGTAGTTCATGGAAACATTTTAGTGGGAATTCACTGAAAATTTTCGATTCATAAAATGTATCTCCAACATATCTAAATTTATAGAACAGCTCAAAAATATTACAAAACAATTTAGCTTTAACACACTTGGTTTTTGAAACATGCACTCCCTTATCCTGACTTTAAATTTGAAAACTTTTTTCTAACAGATGTTTCCTTTATTCAGAAGTCAGGCTAATTATCTCCTCCTACATTGGAACTTGACAATTAGACGTGACCTGACCACATTTTGGTTGGAGGGTGGAGGGGGCGGGGAAGGTGTCATAGAAAGCTAATATCTCAAATTGTTATGTCTGACATAAATTTAACACTGCAAGAAGTTGTGGGTATACAACCCTAGTTGAAAGAATTCGGAAAGTGTCTCATGTTTGACCTCTAAAAGACTCTTAAAAGTCATTGTAACATAATAAAACTGTTTATTGGACTAGCTGTCAGTGTATTTGGAATGTTCTCCCTTGGCACTAATCTGAGAAATCCTTTGGTCTGATCAGCAGTGTATGGTGATGATCTTGGAGGTATCAGTGTTGTGGTTAAGTACAGAGACAAATTGGCTACGATATACTACCAAAACACTCTGTTAAAAAGTCTACACCCACCATAGATATAGTGAGTACTGTACTCATTGAGTCTGTTGTAGGAGACCGTTTTGTATCCACAGTGACATGGGAGCCAGCTATCCACAGGCCCCAAATTGCTGTAAATTAGCGCCAGCAGTTTAGGTGGTGAATAAATATGCTTCTTGTTAGGAACATTATCAGATATTTAGCAGAAAAACTGGTCTCCCCTACAGAGGGGAACACAAACTGTGGTCTAGGGTTTCTGGCACCTCAGAGATGGGAGTCAGGGTGAGAGGCA